TCGCCGCCCCCGCCGCCATCGCCGCCGCCGCCTTCACCTCTTCCGCCGCCGTCGCCGCCCCCGCCGCCATCGCCGCCGCCGCCTTCACCTCCTCCGCCGCCTTCGCCGCCCCCACCGCCATCGCCGCCGCCGCCTTCACCTCCTCCGCCGCCTTCGCCGCCCCCACCGCCGCCACCGGCGGGCACCGGCGGGGGGCAGTGCGTGTCGACCGGATTTCATTCCGGCTATACCGACGCTTGGTGTGACCGCAACTGCAACTGGACGCCCTCCTTCTGCCCCGCTCAATACTGCACCCAGGACTGCCTCGGCGGGAGCGGCCGTCGCCGCCTCGCCGAATCCGCGCCCGCCCCCTGGAGCAGCAACGCGCGCGCCGCCGTCGCAGCTCCGCTGGCGCTCGCCGCCGTGGCTGGGCTCGCCGTCTACGGCCGGCGCCGCCGGGCGAGCCAGGCGAGCAACCTTGCCGACATCGAGAGCTGCGCTGAAGAGGCGTGAACGCCGTCAACCTGCCGTCAACTTGCCGTCGACCTCCTCTCCGTGCCACGGGGCGCGATCTGCGATCTCTGGCTCGCGCACGCTCAGACTCTCGCTGAGGCTTGCTCTCTCACAGCCCTGTTCCCCGGCTGTCTCCGCCCCCAACTTGTCGCTTTAGTCTTCATGCGTTGTGCGTAGCGCCTCTGACGCTCGCAGCGCTGAACCTGATTTTTGTGATAGACATCAACTGGTTGATATACGTCAGTAGACAGTACTGCATTAATGTGTCGAGTACGTTTTCAATGTCGTACGTTTTAGTCCGCCCAGGCACGCCGCAACGCGCAAGGCCAGCGGCTCTCCTGACTCCTCTTGCTCTTCACCTGGAGCTGGACACGCTGAGGTGTGTGGAGCAGCCTGCAACAGCCTCCTCCGGCCCCTTCGTTGAGATCTCTCCGATGGGAAGTTTTTAATGCCTCCATCCCAAGTGCTGGGCTCCCGCAGTGCGGTCGTAGGGTAATGAACATGCACACAGAGATCCCCTATTGAACAGGTCGTGTGCTGTGGGGCCAGCTTCTGGTCAAGGAGGGGCGCACTTGCTGGCGACGGCGGCCGACGCCGAGTCCCTTGCGGCCGTCGCCCTTCGGATGGCATTGTCATCAAAGTGCACGCGTGTTTCTTCAACAACTGCAAAAGCCGTGGCAGTGGCACTCCCTAAGGAGGCGGACGCGAAGGCGTAGCCGGCCGAGTCTTCCATGTCTTCGGCCCTGACGGCGGCTTCAACAGCAAGGCGACTAGCTGCACCTGCCGAGGTATAGGCCGAATCCGCCATCGCGGCGGTTTCTTGTGTGATCCGAAGGCGTTCGTTTGCGGCTGTACTCACACGTTGAGCAAATTCGGCCAGTATCCGCCTTGAAGCAGCAGCACGGTCCGCCTGCTCTGCGTCGGCGGTAAGAGCGAGAGAAGTATCGTCAGCCGATGTCTCAGCCGCCACTGCTGCACCCATCGCACCCGTCGCAGCAACAAGGTTGGCGTCGGCGTCGGCAGCGGCAACGTCCGCAGCTGGATCCAGACCGAGCTCTGCACCGGCAGCTACGTCCAGAGCGGCAGCGATGCCAGCATCTGCCTCCTCCACCCCCTCTGTGGCCGTCGCAGTTTCTGTGGCCAGAGCCGCGGCAGTTCTTGCGGCCGCCGCCTCGCTGTTCGCAGTAGCCGCTGCTGTGGCCGCCGCAGTCGCCCTTGCAGATGCCGCACGCGCGCGGGCGTTGGCAGCGTCGGCGTCCAATGCGGCTTCATTGACAAGAGCGTGAGCCCGTTGGGCTTGCCGGTACAGCAGGTCGCGTTCTGCGTGTGCCTCGCCTTCTCTTCCTTCAGCCGCCGCTAGATGTAACGTCGCGGCCTTCGCGGCCTTGCGCAGGACGGCGGCAGACGCACCGGCAGCGGTAGCCCACCCGGCAGCCGTGGCGGCGTCCTTCTGTGCGCTCTTCGCTTTGTCCTCCAAGTAGGACAGACGCCGCTGCGCCTTCTCCTCGGCAGCGCAGGCTGCCTTGCACGGTGATGTCGCCTCCTCAGTGCACACCGCGGGTCCAGGCGGGTACGGAGGGAGCGGCGGCAGAGGCGGAGAGGGGAGAGCGGGCGGCATGGGCGGCATTGGCGGAGGTGGCGGCGGAGAGGGAGGCGGCTTGGGAAAGACCCAGGCAGACTGCATGATGCACTTGATCGGTTTGGAGGCTCCACAGCCACAGAAATCGACTTCCTGCGGTGAGGCAGGCTGCAGTCCGGAGAAGTAGCAGTAATCATGCCCCTCCGGGTTGGGCCCCCAGCAGCAGCCTCGCTTTTGGCACTGTGACTCGGTGATGTTGATAAAGCCGCAGTCCGTTCGTTCGTTGAGCGCGACACTGCACGACTCTTCCGCGGGGTTTCCATCTTTGACAAAGGAGCAGTAGTTGAACATGTCTTGCCAAACATAGTGCTCGTCTTGTTTCTGCCAAAAAGGGCTGCCCGAAGCTGGCACTGGCGATCCGTTGCAGCATCCAGTCGCAAGGAAGGTGTTGCCGTAGGTCTCAGGGGAGATGAATGGCGGTGGCGGCGGAGGCGCAGCCATGGGCGCGCACTTCCACCAGATGCTGTTGTGGTTTGCGTCTGCCCCCGCCGGCCTGTGGCACACGTCGGCCTGAGGGCAAGGCAGCTGCTCCTGGGAGGAGCAGCAAATGCCGTGCGCCCCGTACTTGGGGTCGTATGCGTCCTCGCCGTCCGGCACGCAGTCCTTGGGCTCAATCTTGAGTGAGGCTGATGGCGGCGGAGGCGACCAGATGCCGTCGCATTGCGCACATTCTCTCGGACCCAGCTCGCACCCAGCCCTGCCGGTGAACTGGCTCTCTCGGCTACACCAGAAGGCCCTGTTGGGACCTGGGGCGCAGTGCTTGACGTAGCAAGAGTGCCCAGCAGAAGAGGCTGAAATGCGCAAGTCTTTGTTGCAGCTGCACTGGCCGTCGCACTGCTTGTTGACGATCTGCAGCGCCTGCTCGTGCGTGCACGTCTCCCCGCAATCGGGGCTGCACTTGTCGCCGTTCCCTTCGCTCTCGCAAAAGCGGATGCGCTCTGCGCACGTTTTGGCCTGCCCCTGGTATGTGCACTGCGTGTCGCACGGGTCGACTGGCTCTCCTACCGCGGCCAGCCTCAGCTGAGTGACGGCGGCAGAGAGGGCCGGCAGGGACTTCATCGCATGGTCGAGGTTCCTGGTGTTTTGCGTCTTTGCCTGGTCGACCGCAGGAGCCAGACTGGCGTGCACGAGCCTGGCGAGGTCCTGGTTGTTGCAGCTGCACTGGCCGTCGCACTGCTTGTTGACGATCTGCAGCGCCTGGTCACGAGTGCACTTCTCCCCGCACTCGGGGCTACACTTGGTGCCGTTCCCTTTGCTCTCGCAAAAAGTGATGCGCTCTGCGCACGTTTTGGGCAGCCCCTTGTATGTGCACTGCGTGTCGCACGGGTTGACTGGCTCAAAACTTCCCACCGCGGCCGGGGTCACTGGCAGGGCGGTTGCGGTAGCGATGATGGCCACAAACGCCCATGCGTACATCTTGTCGTGCATGCTGAGAGTTTTGGCTGAGGAGCGACCTTGCAGGATCAGAGGATCATTGCAGGATCATGGTGCTCGGTAAGGGACCCCGGCTGTGAAGAGAGGGGGGAGTCAGAACGCTGTCAGAACGTTGCCAGAACGCTGTCAGGACGCTGTCAGAACGCTCGTGTCAGAACGGCCATGTCTCTGTCAGAACAGAGGTGTGGGAGCTCCGCAAACCAGGTAGGGGTTCACTGCCAACAACAAAACTTCGGCGGGCAATTAAGGTTCCCCATGCCAGTTTCGGAGGGCAAACCCTGCCCGGCCCCTAGAGCCCCAGGTAAGGCCCAGGTGTGGCCTAGGGCATCAGAAGGGACCAAGAGGAGTCCAGTCTGAGCCATAGAGCCCATGTCTTTGCCCCCGAAGGTCGCGTTCAAATGCCCGGAACGGCCGTCTCAGTGGTGTCCGGCCGGCGCGATCACCGAGCTGTGACGCTCAGGGAAGCCTGATGAGGTACTGGTTTCTTTGCCCAGGCCTGGCCTACGACCCATGCTGGATCAGCTGAGCAAGGTTTGGGGAGAATCCTATATTGGGATCTTCAGATATTTTGACGGACGACCAAAATCACCCCGTTTTTGCCCATTTTCGGGCATCCGTCAAAATATCAAAGATCCTACTATAGACTCTGAATCGCGAGAGTTATAGAACGAAACGGCAGG